GAGACTCTGAATTGACTTGACCAAAGAAATCACAGCAGCTAATGACCGATACACGTTAAAAGAGAGTTCCACTAGTATCCACGACAAACACGAAAAATCAATAAACAATAACGAACTGAACAAAGATCCGACGATCAACGAGAATCAATAGCCGAGCATGGTATATATTCAGCGAATAACACGAATACGCAAGAATAAACTGAAAAGGTTCGAAAGAATTTACCCGTCTTCGGGAATTTACGAGAAATCGGGAAACATGGTTCGGAACAAGATGGGACGAACGGAGCCTCGACGGGACTCGAAACTCTGAACACTGGGACGGCTCACGAACAGTCACTCGCTGGAGGTGGAAGGCTTCGCCGGAGAAGACACCAGAAAGAATGGCAGACGATTGCCGTTGCTATGAACTCTGGCGATGACGGTTTCTGTTGGGGACTCCGACGATGACCGGCTGCTCGAAGAAGGGAAGTCGACGACAAAGCTCTCGCCGGAGACAATGATGAAGGAAGAGGTTCAAGCGATTAGCAGGTTTTTTTTTTTGAACGATGAATCAGAGAAAGAGGGGAGAAATTGGGGAATGATTCTGATTTTGAAAAGCCCAACTGATAATTAAGTAGGCAGAGAGGGGGAGAACGTGTGGATGGATTTTCTCCCCAAAAATCGCAACCAGTATTTGAAGTGAAGAAGACGACCGGTTCGTGCGCAGATAAGGAGAAAAGCTGCTGGATAAAATGCTTCTTAATGAACCAAGAAAAAAGATCATCTCTTGATCCTAATGGGCCAAGGCAAATAATCATTTGGGCTACAATTATTAATAAAAAGAGAATGGGCTCAAATTGGTCGAAAGATTAATCTCAAGCTTGATAAGAAAACGCGACAACACGAATTAAATTAAAATCGGACATTATATATATAATACACACAATAATATTATTTAATAATAAGCATTTAAACACATAATAACAATTAGACAATTAATAACATAATAATAATAATAATAATAATAATAATAATAATAATAATAATAATAATAATAATAATAATAATAATAATAATAATCACATTAGCAAATAATAATAATAAAAAGGGCACAATAATAATAAAGAAAATAAATAATAACACCAATAATCCACAATCGAACGGGGTATTACAGTCTATCCACCTTACAAAGAATTCCATCCTCGGAATTCGAAAATAAACTAAAAAGCCATAAAAAAAATACAAAGGGGACTCAAAACTCAAAGTTCGGATATCGCCTCCAAAGCTCGGCCTCCTTTTCCCAAGTCGCCTCGGTCTCATCGTGTCGGCTCCACTGCACCTTCACTAATCTCACTGCCCGGTTCCTCAGCTGGTGGACCTTCCGGTCCAAAATGACTGCCGATACCTCCTCGTAGGTAAAGTCTCGCTCGACCTGCAGCTCGCCGAAGTCCACCACGTGATAGGGGTTATGCACATATCTCCGAAGCATCGAGACATGGAACACGTCGTGCACACCCGACAAGTCTGGTGGTAAAGCTAGCCGATACGCTAAGTTCCCGACTCGGTCGAGGATCTCAAATGGTCTGATATAGCGCGGTCTAAGTTTTCCCTTCTTCCCGAAGAGAATCACACCTCTCATGGGTGAAACCTTCAAGAAGACATGATCTCCCACTGCATAAACATGCTCTTGCCTATCCCGGTCGGCATAGACCTTCTGCCTCTCCTGGGCAGACCTGATAGTCTTTCTGATCTCCTCAACTGTCGCTGCAGTACTCTGAACAAAATCCGGACCTGTAATCCTCCTCTCTCCAACCTCATCCCAATACAAAGGGGTCCTGACCTTACGTCCGTACAAAGCCTCGTACGGAACCATCTTGATCGAAGAGTGGTAGCTGTTGTTGTAGGTCAGCTCGACTAGCGGAAGGGAATACTCCCACGTCAGGCTTCGGTCCAAGACCACAGCCCTCAAAATGTCCTCCAAGTACTGGATCACACGCTCCGACTGACCATCTGTCTGGGGGTGAAAGGCTGTACTGAACTCCAACCTTGTCCCCATGGCTCGGTGTAACGTCCTCCAGAACTGGGATGTGAACTTGGCATCTCAATCCGAAACAATCTCCACGGGCACCCCATGAAGCTTAACAATGTCTTTGACGAACAATTCGGCGTAATCACTAGCCTTCATGGTCGTCCGGACTGGCATAAAATGGGCAGACTTCGTAAGGCGATCAACTATCACCCAAATCGAATCATACCCGCCCCTCGACTTCAGCAGTCCACTAAAAAATCCATGGCGATGCACTCCCACTTCCACAGGGGAACCTCAGGGGGCTGCAACAACCCTCTCGGTTTCTGGCGCTCAGCCTTCACTTGTTGACACACAATGCACCCATCCACGAACTTCGCTACTTGCCTCTTCATCCCTCGCCACCAGAAAGATTTCCTCCGGTCCTGATACATCTTCGTGCTACCAGGATGGATGGTGTAAGGGGCACTATGGGCCTCTCTCAAAATCTCCCTTCGCAGTTCCCACACCCTCGGAACACAAAGGCTACCCTCGAAGACCAAGGCCCCATCGGATGCGACTGCAAATCCTCCAACTCTATCGGCTTCTGACAACTCCCTCATCCGGCATAGGAAACAGTCATTCGGTTGCTCGGCGACTATCTTCTCTCGAAGAGTCGGTCCCACAACTAAAGAGGCCAACACACTCCCGGCTGTCGAAGTCGACTCTACTGCCTCTAGCTGTAGCCGCTCGAACTCCCGAAGAAGGACATCCTGCCCGGTAAACAAGCAAGATAGCTGGCCATAACTCCTTCGACTAAGGGCATCGGCTACCACATTAGCTTTCCCAGGGTGATAGCTAATCGTGCAGTCATAGTCCTTGACCAGCTCAAACCACCTACGCTGCCGCATGTTCAGCTCCTTCTGAGTGAAAATGTACTTTAGGCTCTTGTGGTCGGTAAAAACCTCACACTTGCCTCCATATAGGTAGTGCCGCCAAATCTTCAAGGCGTGAACAACTGCAGCTAATTCAAGATCATGAGTGGGGTAGTTCTGCTCGTGAGGCTTCAACTGCCTCGAAGCATAGGCTACGACTCTCCCTTGCTGCATGAGAACACAACCCAAGCCCATCTTCGAAGCATCACTATAGATCGTGAACTCCAAAGTAGGGTCGGGTATGGATAGGACGGGCGCGGTAGTGAGTCTCCTCTTCAACTCCTGGAAACTCTCCTCGCATTTCTGACTCCAATCAAACCTCACGGCCTTCTTCGTAAGGTTGGTTAGTGGCTGAGCTATCTTTGAGAAGCCCTCGATAAACCTCCGGTAGTATCCTGCTAACCCCAAGAAACTACGAACATCAGCGACACTTCTTGGCGTATCCCACTTTCTCACCACCTCGATCTTGCTGGGATCCACCTCAATGCCTCTCTCTATCACGATGTGGCCAAGGAATGCCACACGATCAAGCCAAAACTCGCACTTCAAGAACTTAGCATACAACTTCTCGTGGCGAAGAGTCTCCAGCACAATCCTCAGATGCTTTTTGTGTTGGTCGATGCTTCGAGAATAAACCAAGATGTCGTCGATGAACACGATAACAAACTGGTCCAAAAAGGAATGAAAGACCCTATTCATAAAGTCCATAAACACGGCCGGGGCATTGCTGAGTCCGAACGGCATGACTACGAACTCATAGTGGCCATAACGGGTACGAAAGGCAGTCTTAGAAATATCCGACTCCCGGATTTTCAGCTGATGATAGCCAGACCGCAAATTGATCTTTGAGAAGACGCTGGCTCCTCTCAGTTGGTCGAAGAGATCCTCAATACGAGGAAGGGGGTACTTGTTCTTGACTGTAAGGGTATTCAGCTCCCGATAGTCAATACACATGTTCATTGATCCGTCTTTCTTCTTCACGAATAAGACGGGCGCACCCCACGGTGAAACACTTGGCCGAATAAAACCGAGTTTGAGCAATTATTGGATTTGGGCCTTAAGCTCTTGAAGCTCCTTCGGCGCCATACGGTAAGGGGCCTTAGACACGGGGCCAGCTCCCGGTACTAAGTCAATGGTGAACTCCACTTGGCAGTCGGGTGGTCCTCCGGGCAGCTCATCGGGAAAAACATCAAGGAATTCGCAAACAATAGAAACTCGCTCCGGAGTACGCTCGGAATCATCCTTGGACACCATAGAAACAAGATAGCCTTGGCAGATACCCTTGGAAAGGCTCTTCCTAGCTTGAATAGAAGAGATGACACGAGGCACAGTCCTCGACTTCACCCCAAAAAATACAACCGGCTGATTAGAAACGGGAAAGAGAGTGACTTCGCGCTCCTGGCACCGAATGTCGGCTC